TGCGAATTTTTGATAATTATTTTTTTCTATTGTTTAGGTGAAGTGGTAGAACATTATGGCTATGGTAGATATTGTGTAATACTACAGAATACTGTAAATTTAAAAAAGTAAATTTTATTAAACTGTGTCCTCCCTCATTCCAAACGCAAAGCTTGAGTAGAACTGCAATAAGCATTTTATACTTATATGCCAACCCCGTACGAAGGACGGGTACTCTGCTAGTGTTATTATAGTTATGATAATATATAAGATAACTGTAGAAACTGAGTTGACTAATCTGTATACAACAAATCAAAAGTAGGATTGTGATGGCAATGAAAAATCAAACAATAACTAGGATTGCTTTCATAGCAGTGAAAGCCAGTTGAGCAGAGCGAACAAGTTTCATGTTTTTTAATAAAGCAATAAATTAGAACAATGTATATAGATATAATACAACTATTTACAGTAGAACTCCGATTATCCGAATCTATTGGGACTAGACCCCATTTGGATAATAAAAAATTCGGATAATCAAAGTTTTACAGAAATTCAAAGTTTCCAAATTTCCGGGAATTTCCAAGAAAAATCCTCATTTTCGGTACTAAATGAGCTTTTAATCTATACTATTATATAAAAATCTAATGGTGTCTGTCTGTATGTGTATTACTAATAGGTGCAAAAACTACTGAATCAACTGGGCTTAAATTATACAAAAATATATCTACCATACCAAGGACCATTATAGGACTATTCACATTTCGATACTGACCGTAGGCTTTGCCCCTTTGGCTTTAAAAGTTCTAAGGTGAACATTTTAAAAGTAAATATTGATTGGTCTCCATGGATGTGATGAGAACACTAACAATGTTTGTTTACATTTGCTTTGACATTTAAATGTAAACAAGAAGATCTGCTAAACTGCATATTTCACAATTTCAGACAGCTGATACAAAGAAATTAAATATAATATTTTCCATAACTATGCGGTAGGTTTATTTTAATCTAACCTTTTATCATGGATTATTTATTCTAAAACTATGTCAATGATTATAGAAAAAATGATTCTATAACCATTGCTGTATCAACTCCGGCTCTGCTTTGGATTTTTTAAAGCGTCTAAGTTATGAAAATAATGTTATTGATATGTTTTCATGGAAACAGTATTAAAATTACAAAGTATAGATGTTTTATATAAATTTGGAGGCTACTTTAAATAAATTCTAACTGCTTAACATGTGTTGGATTAACTTTACATAACTTGCACATCACATTGTTTTTTATATGTATATTTAGGTAAATTAAGTTATTGCGTTTTGCTAAACCCAAGCTTAAATTAAACTAAAGAATATCATCAATAACTAAATTGTACGTTGATTTTTGTTTTCTAAAATCTGTTGTATATAGGTAACTATATTTAAGTATCAAATGCTAATACAAAATACTCTTATTTTATCTTAACATAGCTTTCAGTTCACATTTACTTTATTTGATACATTTATTATTTGTGTTTTGCCACACCACTGATTAAATTAAACCAAGGAAAATATCATAAAACTAAGCAGTACACAGTATTCTTTTGTTTCTAAAATCAATGAAATATCTGTTACTATGTTTACTTAATGGTAAGTGTGAAAATGTAAAGGCAATGGACGATGGAACTGATTAAAAGAACGAGTTTGTATATTAAGTTAAGTGAATGAATGGTTTAAATTCCTTTACTGTCCAAGCGATCCTTGTAGTCTTAGTAGGCTACTGCAGTTTCGATACTTTCACGGTATCTTCTTCAGTCTAGGATATCATTTTCATTAGTTTTCACGAAAACGTCATTTTGAATAAAATCCATTGAACACATGGACACGAACACGAAACATTTATACGACACATTAAACATTTACTATTGCTATAAAAATACTGGGACGGCAGTATGTGGTGGCGCATGCGGAAGGCTGGTCTAGACTCCACATGCGCCACCACATACTCCTGCCGTCCCAGTATTTTTATAGCAATAGTAAATGTTTAATGTGTCGTATAAATGTTTAATGTGTCGTATAAATGTTTCGTGTTCGTGTTCGTGTCCGTGTGTTCAATGGATTTTATTCAAAATGACGTTTTCGTGAAAACGAATGAAAATGATATCCTAGCCTGAAGAAGATACCATGAAAGTATCGAAACTGCAGTAGCCTATTAAGACTACAAGGATCGCTTTGACAGTAAAGGTATTTAAACCATTCATTCACTTATTGAAAAAAAAGCGGTTCAGTGGCTGTCAACATAAAGTATATTAAGTTGTTTGTTGATATTTTTGTAGAGTAGAATCAGAGATGCAATGAAACATATACTGTATTTGCTATTACATATTTTAGTCCTTGCTGCTTTGATAATCATATTAGTTTTTTCTGCTGTCTTTAATGCTACATTATTTGTTTAAATTTTTTTATAGTACATATAGTTATAGTTTCTTTAATATTTCAAAAAAACTGTATTGATAAGGCACAGCAATATTTCTAAAGTTTATAACAGCTGACTTAGTTTTGCTAATGATTTATTGTGAATGAAGAAACTTAAGATGGAAGGATTTGTGATTTAATATAAAGAAGAGTGAAATTTAAGAAATGTTCATTTTTAAATTTAACAATTAGTACCTATTTTTATTTTTGCAACTTCAAAATTGAATTAAAATGTCAATAATAAATTAAAAGATATGTAGGATGAAGGTAAATCATGTATGTCAATGTTTTATTCGAAGATTTGGTAAGTTTTTCTCATATCAGCCTACACAAGATTTAAAATTAATCAAAACCAAAATGTTGGTATCCACTACTTACCAGATTTAAAAGTCATATAACTTAAACGTTTCTATTAAGGCTATAAAAGTTGAATTTTGTTTCTAAGAGCGTTGGCGGATGTGTAACTATTATATGCAACAGATGTAAAGATTAAAATGTTTCTATTTTGTGTCCTCTTCCCGTTGCAAAGCACGGGTACAACAGCTAGTTAATAATAAATTAAATCAGAACATTTTTACAGTTTACAATGCTCATAGCATAAGTGTTCTATACATGTCTTAAGTTGATAGTGTTCCATCAAAGTCCAAAATTACACACTGGCTAAATTTGTTTAATAACAATTCTGCACAACAATTTTGCAAAACTTATTATTACTGTAGCGTTACATTTTTTAAATTGTTGAAATAAGCGATTCGGTTAATTGGAGTTCGGATAATTGGAGTTCTACTGTAATCAATTTAACTTATCATTTTGTTTCAGAACTATCAAAATCTATAACAAGTTTCATAAGTAAAGATGTGGACATTACATACATATCCTTTTATCCGTATTTTTTCTACGTTTGCTTGGTAATGTTATGTAGTAAACCAATAGTTCTGGTTGAACCAAACCAATCGACATTTTCTCATTCTCTCTAATTTTTATTTTATTAGTTAAAAACAGCTTATTATTAACAAGTTCGCTACTGCAATAGTACGAAATATTTCATTCACATGGACCAGTGACGCACATATGCGACGGCCGGTTTCTACCCATAGACTGCCGTCGCATATTTGTGTCGGGGTTCTAATGTTATTAAAATTCTTATATCTTTGTAACGGTCTATTTGAAGGCACTGAATTCCCTGCAGTGGTCTACACAGATGTCTGACGCACAACTGCGTCGCTTGATCTGTGGATATGATGATTGGTGACGTCATATGATAGTTGGAATTTGTTCAGTTATAAACTGTTCTTGAATAGTCTGTTTTTTTTTTTTTTACTTTCACCTCAAAACACAAACAAAAATGATCTGTCGCATATATGCGGCGTTTGGGCTATTTCAAGAAAACTATGATAATTTTCACTATTGTCTTTGCTGTAGACCGGACGTCGCAAATATACAACATTACAAAAGGTTATAAAAAATACAAAAGAACAAGAATGAATTATTTACAAACACGATTGCAGCGTATTACAATTTAATTGATCGCTGTTTTACAGGTTTTCGCCCGTGGTCTGTGTGTATTGTTAACCAAGTGACAGCCGGTCTGTGTGTAAGATTCAAATGTATACCTCGGTCTGTGGCAATGACCGCGGCATCGCATATATGCGACGCTCAGTAGCGTGTTAAAATTGTTTGTTAAGCTCTCTTTTACTTCAGATCAATATTATATCTTTGCTATCAAACCCATGTGGCTATTAAAATTACAACAACGTTATATTTAGTCAACATTGGCACACTCAAACGTTTCCACATTGAATTTAACAATAGGATAAGAAGTTTACTTGTGCTGTTCAAAGTCAATAATAAGACCGCATCTTATTAATAGCCTATTTGGATGAAAAAATATTCATTTGATAATACCTATACTGATTCATGTAGTTTAGTTTTAAAATGGCGTGTAATGCTTACAGTAACTTTCTCCGTATTATCTAATGAGTGATTATCATTCGAATGCTTATCCTTTGTATTGTGTTTAGGTCATGCTATGATTCTTTGTTTTGTTTACATTTACGTCGCTATTTTTAACCATCATGGCAACCCATAAGGCCAATGTTATTATTTAAAAACTTTTGAGTTACTTTTAAATTAAAAGCATTATTGAAAATTGAAATTTTTTCGTCTTAAACCTTCTAAACATTTGTCAAAACAACCTAGATAAGTTTGGCTAAAATATATTCAGCCGTTATTGAGTGATAGTGTTATAAAGTTTGCATTAAAGCCGATCCCAAAGAGCTTCTCTTCGCTCCGCACAATAACAAAACAATTAGTAATAATAATTTACGAACAGATACTAATTTCTAAATCATAATTTAGGAACAAATAATAATTTATGTATACATATTGTCAAACCTTATGGAATTTAGGATTTGTTGATTCTTGGTAAGAATTCTTGGACCAATTTTAGCCCTTGAAATCGGTATTGAGAATCAGAGAAAAAAGTATAGGAATTGATCCTCAATTCATAGCAATTAGGGAGTTGTCTAATAAAGGATCTGTATTTTAAGAAGGGGGAATGTACTAGCTTACCTATAGAGTTCAGATCTTGGTGAGCTGAGCTTGAGCGTTCTTGAGTTGTATGACAAGTGCCTCAGTGTCCATCCTAGTGTACAGGGCACTGAGGCAGTCTGTGATGAGGTCCTGCAGCTCAACTGCTACAATGTTCCTGAACCAACCAATAGACCTTACATTTCTATAGGTTAATAGAGAGGGTGAGCGAATTTTTCATTGAACATTCACTGAACTATAGAGAGTTCCCTGCTTCTAATTTACTACTGCAAACCGTTATTAGTGAATTAAGTTCAAACAAATGTGGCAGACGGTACAAGGGCCTCCAAACTAGGGTTCACAATAAGACTGCCAGACTCCAGACCTTAAAAAAAATGTTTCTCAAAATGTTTGAATAACGATAGTTAAAAAATGACAGACGCCTTGGATATGGAAATGGTAAGAGGTAATTTTGTAGTTTGGGATACAGTACCCGTCCATTTTACCAAGCACACATACAAATATGAATATGGCTAAAATTGTTAGCCATATTTAATAAATGAGCCTTCAATTTTCAATCATATTTCTTTCTGGAATAGTTAAAAGTTGTATTAAGCTAGAAAAAGGAAATCAAGATTACTTTAATTACTCACTTTTCACTGGGCTTGACTAGTTTTGGGTTGTTGATGAACATTTCTGTCAGGTTAGCTATTACTTCAATCAAGTACAATTCATTGCCATTGCTCACCCAGCATCTGTCATTCATAATGTACATTCTGAAAAAGAAAAGTAAATAATTTTAGGAGAATAATTATTCTACCACTATATTTTGTGAGGTATCAAATTTTAAGGGGGGTAAAAACGTACTGCTACTCAACAAACACTATAGCTTACCATTTTTTATCAACAATATCCTACTCCTAGGCCTAGGTGGTGGCCATAGCTTGGGCTATGGGTCAAAGAACGTAGGCCTGGTTAAAAATACAGTGAAGTACATACACACACTCACACAACATATTTATCAATAGTAGCGGACGCGTTGCAGAAAGTCAACAGTGCCGGAAGGTCAAATAATTTATACTTGTGCCGATAGGTCAAAAACTACAATGTTTGCAGTGTCTGTGGATCAAAAATCCCAGTAAGTCAAATAATACAGTCCGTGCTAAAAACGTAGTCTATGTTAAAGCTATTGACACATTGGGAATTTGACCTAATGCAACAGCAGTTTTAATATGACGAAATACGATAAAATATAAGTTCAGTTTCGCTGAGTCAACAGTGCCAGAAGGTCAAAAGTATATTCTGTTAAAAACAACGATAGTCCTCTCGATGCATGACTTCAAAAATTTCGTGTTTTGGTGTACCTACTTAAAGTTGTGCTAAAATTTTGAAAATTGGCACAGAGCTTCTTGGTTAGTCCTACTTGATGACCGTTTTGTTGGAACTTCAAACTATTTACCGATCTAATTATGTAATACAAATTTATATGTATGGTGAAATAGTTTTAAATCGTGATTTGTAACATGAAAAAGTTAGCATGCGACAATTTTTTGGTTAGAGAGGTTTTGTCTGTGGCAACGTTGTAGCCAAAAGTTTGATGTGTAAAATATAATTTTTTGAATTTTTTTACAATCAGTGGTTCAATAGATAACTTGGGTTGAAGAGGAAGGGAAATTTAGCATTTCGCAACGCATGGAAAGAAACTATATCGCACGTTGCGCCTGCTGAGTGGCCGTTTACTTTACAGTTCTAAGGGCAAGAAAAAGATGAATATACAAATCATCAGTACATTCATAATATTTAAAAAACCTCTTTCTGTATTACCAGCTTACATTTTTCACTTAAATTGATAAGAATACATCATACACAGGGTGTTTAAAAAAGGAGGGGACTTATTTTACCTAGTGATTTCTTGGGTAAAAATAAATAGAAAATCAAAGATAACATTTTTTCCAAAATCGCTTCGTTAACCAGCTATCCGCCATTTTGTATTTTTTTTACATACAAATATTTATCTTTAGATTTTTCCAACCAATGTTTATGAAACTTGGTAGTATGTTAAGGTAGGAGAGACGCATATTATAAAAAAGATTAATCTCGATTCACCTTAAGATTTCAAAATGGCTGCCATTTCAATTTCTCAAACCTAAACTACTCTAAAACTGCTGATTTTATGAAAAAATGCCAAGAACACTTTAATTTAGCATTGTTAATTCCCTATCAAACGATACCAAGTTAAAAAAGACCAAATAATAAATAGCTGAAATATTACGATTTTAGCTGTAAAAGGGGGCAAAACTGACTAGATTATCCTTTTTTTACCCCATTTTAAAACTAAAAATCTTAATATTTCAGCAATTTCTTTTTCGATCTTTTTGAACTTGAAACCGTTTGATAGGGAATTAAAAACCCTATTTAAAAGTGTTCTTGACCTTTTTTCATAAAATCAGCCGTTTTTGAGTCTAGTATAAGGATTAGCTGAAATATTAAGATTTTTAGTTGTAAAATGGGGTAAACAGGACTATTTTAGCCTTATTTTACCCAATTTTACACCTAAAAATCGTAATATTTCAGCTATTTATAATTCAATCTTTTTTAACTTGGTATCGTTTGGTAGGGAATTCAAAATACCAAGTAAAAGTGTTCTTGACATCATTTCATAAAATTTGCCGTTTTTGAGTAATTTAAGGTTTACAAATTTAAATGGACGCCATTTTGAAATTTTTATTTCAATCAAGATGATTTTTTTTTCTAACACTGGTCTAGTTTACCTTAACGTACATACAAAGTTTCATAAAGATCGGTTAAAAAACGCAAAACAGAATATGTTTTTCAAAAAATACAATATGGCGGATATCTAATTAACTTAATGATTGACTCATTTTCTCTTCACATTTTTGCTATAAACCTAATTTTTTAGGAGCTACATGATGTAAAATGTACACCGGAAGTCATTTTTCCATAGGCTGTAACTCCTAAACGAGTGGGTTTATCGAAAAAATGTCAAGAATATAAAACCTTTAAATTGCATGTTCTATCCGAAAACATGATAAAATATAGGGTGTTCCATAAGAAATTTGAAAGTTAGCCGCCATGTTGGAAAATGGCGGCCATTTTTAAAATATTGGAATTCATATTTTTTTTTATCATTAAAAAATAGTTGAAGTTCCCCATTTAATGTTCTCTCTAAATCTAATAGTTTCTGAGATACCAATGGTGGCACAGTTAAGTTGTTCACCCTGTATATATATATATATATATATATATATATAAACTAGCAGCTATACCCGTGCCATGCAACGGGGTCAAGATGTGGAAGAGACAATTATTTCGGTTCCTTGAAAATAATGGCAAGCAGCTTGAATAGAACAATTATTATATGAAGATATGACTTTTATTAATTTACTATAAGTATTAACTGGCTACATAAACATAACTGTAAAATATACATCCATTTCATGTATCACAGCTTTTTGTTTCTGCTTGGTACAAATTTTAGCTGCTGTCATAAATATAAAAAAAATAGTGCTGCACCCTGTTGATAAACCTATTAACTTTTTAATGCTATTAACATCACAGAATCAAATTGTTCAGTTGAAATAGCTGTTAAGATTCTTTAATTCTATTAAAATGTAGAAACTTATTAGGTTAACATGGGGAAACTCCAGAGCCACTGGGGCGGAGCCGATTGGACGAATCACAAAATTGATGGTGTATAAACCTATTCCATGATATTCTATACACGTTTATACCAAGTTTCGTGGCAATCGGTCCAACGGTGTCCGAGATCATAACGTTCAAACATACAAACTTCCTCTTTTATAAATATAGATACAGTATATGAATTTGAAAGGATGGTGTTTTTGGCCACTAGGGACCTCAAAACAAAAAATTAAATCGGTCCCGGGTCCAGGTGTTGCCATGAGTACTACGGTAATAGCTTATTCCCTTTATGGGAAATTCGCCAAAAACCTAATAGTTCTATAGAATAATATTACATTCAACCAGCTGTTAGTTAAAACAAATTATTTTGGACTAAAACAAATCGATGATTACAAAGATTGCTTTAAAAATATATAAACATCCTAATACTTTTACTATGCATATTTAATTAATTTCCCATCCTCGTACCGAAGAATTCAATGTATCAATGGTCAGCATTACACATTAGTATAAATAAGTCAACCCTAAGTATGTCTTTTAATTTGTTTCCAAATGCTGAATTTGTGTCACAAATGCTGAATGTTTACAGCTGTTATGTTAAGCAAATTATATTGTACTAAAAGCCTTAAATTTGGCTGGCTCTTAGAAGGTTAGCGTCAGCTGCTAGACTTTTTAAAAAATAAAACTTAATTTCTAAAAATACCCCCGCCGCAGCAAACCTGCAGACTAAGCGAATTTCCATTTACCTGATCGGATTTACACTAAAATGCCTCCTTAAAATATCACATTTATTCCCTATTTAAATAACATTAGTTTAGTGAGTAATTAGGTTTGCTGCAACAGGGAGGGTAAAAAGATGTTTTTTGTAAAATTTTAATAGCTTAGTATGAAATTAATGCATTTTCCAAATTTGATCAAAATATGATCATAAACAAGCAAACTACAACTGTTTTACTTATTCTCCATAAGAATAACATGGGAATTTTAAATTTACAGTTTTTTGGAATTTTCTCCGTAACCATTAGCGCATAATAACGCTTCAATACACTAAATTATTTGTTTTTTTAAGCTCGACAAAATGGTTTGGAAAGAAAATGCTAAATTTTAAGTTTTAAGGGTCAAAAATGGGAAAAACTAATTTTTGCCCCATAAAACCCCCCATAAACCCCTGTTCCCATAGTCCGATCATGCTGGTTCGCGAACTCGTTTGAATAAACGTAAGTTTAGACGTTTTTACCAAATTTCATCAAAATCGGATGATTTTTGCTCGAGTTATCGCGCTAACGGACACATATATAAATATATATATATGAATTTGAACGGATGGTGTTTTTGGTCTCTAGGGACTTCAAAACGAAAAAGTAATTCGGACCCGGGTCCAGGTCTTACCATGAGAACTACGGTAATAGCTTATTCCCTATAGGGGAAATTCGCTAAAAACTAGGACCCTAATTTACAATTATGGCTTTGACATTCCCTAGTTCTCAAAATTATCTTTCTTTCAACAGAAAAATCATGAAAATCCGTCGACTGATTGATTTAGAATCGTGAAACAAAAACACCCTTTTACGTGTTAATATACATATATGATAGTTTGGACAGGTTTCAACCCTTCCGAGCTATGTACACAGTTTATGTGTACATTATAACTCATAATATAGTTCTTAAGTTAAATGGATCTCCTTTTACAAACGTATATAATAACTAGAAATCCTTAGATCGTCCTGTTTGCAGCGTCAAGGTTATTGTTAGGTACCTCTTCTTAGGTGAAATATCTCTCGAACAAGAGTGTACCAAACATTTTTCCAAAAACGTATGTGTAGCATATACGAATCTAGACTCGAAGCATTATAGTCAAATTCACCCGAAGATTCATTAAAGTAGAAACACTGAAAAAAAGAAGAATTAAACTCAACCTGAACACAAAAGACATTGGATTTAGAAATCAATTAGCCGAGATTGTGTATATCAACCACCAAGTCTTGACCAAGAAAAGAAGGGAACTGTACAAGGAAGTCCGGGACCTCAAAAAGGAGAAGAACTTCAGTTACGTGTGGGTGAGAAACGGAAATATTTCTCATCTTGTCTTTACATCATCACCTGATCAACGGCC